TGTAGAAGGTATGTGTGATACATGCTCACTGACGACTAATGCAGATTTGTTGTTCTATTTTGCAGCTTTTATTGTAGTGTGTAGAAGGTATATGTGATGTATATTTGATAGGTATTATTACTGTTATCATAGCAGTGTGTAGAAGGTATTAGTATAGGTAAAATGCAAAATGATATTACTGTTTTGTTCTTTATTGTCAAAAATGTCAAAATAATATCGGTCCAGTAAAATTTAGTTCGGTCCAGTAAATTTTGCTGGCTTGGTGGTCCGAAGGTCCAATGTTTAGAAATTTCATTCGTGAAGACTGGGTCAATGCGTGAGAGTTGGCAGCCCTGCAGTCTGAATTTGGGCATGAATTTGTAGGGACGTTGTGTATGCAGTCGCTTACGCAAAGGATGGAAAGCGATTTGCTTCTGGTTCTGCGGACAAGAGTGTCATTATCTGGACAAACAAGTTGGAGGGAATTCTCAAATATTCGTAAGTAAATACAGCAGCTAGCTCCTTCATATAGCAACTCTAATTGCTAAAATCTAATTAATAAAACAACGCTAGCATGTGAATGTAGGACATTATTTCTTGACATCTAGCTATTTAAGGAAATAGGAAAGTTTGAATGAAAATGTTGTGTTAGCACTTTTGATGAACCCTGTGTATTGATGGCTGTGATGGTGTCGCAAAATCTATGCATTTATTTATAAAGGTGTGCACCTGTTTACAGGCATAATGATCCCATTCAAGCATTGGCCTACAACCCGGTCACACATCAACTCGCTAGCTGTGCAGTCAGCGATTTCGGTAAGTCCTTTCTTTTTGCATGCCGCACGAATCCTGGCACACGTCGACGAAAACCTTTGGACGTGCTCGTGTGAGCGCATGTGCGGCATACGTGTGTGTTGATGTCTGCTTCTGACTCTGTTTGTGCTCATGTTAGGGTATGTGTGGTATACCTGTGTCAACGTCTGCTTCTCACTCTAAGTTCTTGCATGGGTAAAGTCGACGCGCATCACGTTTGCAGGGTTGTGGTCACCGGAGCAGAAGTCCGTGCAGAAACACAAGGTCAGCTCACGCGTGACGTCATGCGCGTGGACCAACGACGGCCAGTACCTCGCACTGGGAATGTACAGTGGCTTCGTCAGCATCAGAAACAAGGTGAGGTTGCCACAGCGATGGGAACCAGGGTTGCGTGGTCGTTCTATTGGTCGTGGCTATTAGTTATGCCTGTTGGAATCAGTTTGTTTTTAATAATAAGTTGGCCGATAATAACCGTATTTACATTATCTTGCTGTATAGCTTGGCAGCGGATGTTGTTTTTCTGTGGGTGAAGGTTTAATTTTAATGTTGCAGGCGGGAGAGGAGAAAGTGAAGATAGATCGGAAAGGAAATACAATCTTTTCTCTGGCGTGGAATCCTTCAAAGTATGTGTCTAAATCTATTTCACATGTTACTCTGGTTATTTTGATTGCTAATGTCAATAAAATTGTAATTTGAAAGAATGTCAAGTTGATTTAAATGTAAAAGCAATGTGTGTAGCAATGTGTGTAGCAATGTGTGTACCAGCATGTATTAAAATATTCTTGTAATGAGAGCCATCTTAATCATGCTTAATTCTCTCATTCAGTGTGGGAAAATGAATGAGCTGCTATGTCACATAATAATTTTATATAAGTGTGCATGGAAATCTAACCAATAGATGGAGGCACATGTAAAAGCAAAAGCAAAGTTTACTTGACCAGCTTTCCCTGTGAATTTTAGGGACGAACCCTTCGACACACTGGCCATTGTTGACTGGGGGCAGAATCTCACGTTCTATCAGCTCAGCGGAAAACAGGTGACGAAAACATGTCTGTGACGCATGTCTACGGCGACGTGACATTCATACATCCTCAATATATTCAATCATTTATTTGTCCTATCTTCATTTATTTCTGTCGTTGTGCGAGCGAGTGTTAACCCTCGCGTCTTCCTTGCGTGTGTGTGGCGGCAGATAGGGAAGGAGCGGCGACTGGACTACGACCCGTGTTGCATCAGCTACTTCTCCAGGGGAGAATACCTCCTGCTGGGAGGCTCCAACAGTGAGGCGGTGCTGCACACCAAGGACGGGATCCGACTTGCGGCCATCAAGCCGCAGGAGTCGTGGGTGTGGTGCTGCCGCGCCCGCCCCGACTCCAACTACGTTGTGAGTAGCACAGGCGGGGCGGTACAGCACGATATGGGATGATACGGGGTGATACAGGATGATATGGGATGATACGGGAAAGGACAGCACGACATGGGACAATATGGGATGGTACAGGATGATACGGGACGATACAGGATGATACGGCATGATAGGGTACCATTCGGGTTGATATGAGACATTACAGTATGATACGAGATAGTATGGGACGATAGGGCACGTTACGGGATGGCACGGGACGATAGAGCACGATACAGAATGGTATGAGATGACACAGGTGGCTCGCGATACGATCCATGTTTAGATTTTTACGCTACAAGATGTTTGCCTTTCACGATACAATACGAATCGCGATACTGTTTTAGAGAAACTACCTAACAACTATACACTTATCAGGGACTCTACCAACCATGCGAATGCTCAATTGTTGCATGGATGTTGTTTCTACGGTCAGGCGGTCGGGTGTCAGGACGGCACGATAGCCTACTACCAGCTGATCTTTAGCACCGTGCACGGCCTCTACAAGGACAGGTACGCGTTCAGAGAGAACATGACAGACGTGATCATCCAGCACCTGAGCACCGATCAGAAGGTGCGAATCAAGTGTCGCGACCTTGTGAAAAAGATTGCCATCTACAAGGACCGGCTCGCGGTGAGTGACGAGCGATTCGCCAGAAATCCTCACCAGAATCTGATCGTTAACGTTTTCAATTTCGTAATAACGTTCAATAACGTTTTCGTTAACAATTTCGATATTATATTGTGTGATGATATGAATGCCGTTCTGCAATATTTATGTTGTATTCTCAAAGTTATGTAATAAACCTATTATATATCTATCTATTCAACTCACAGGTGTTGGGTGTACCTGTGTGGGGGTATTCATTCTGTTCATTCATGAAAATATAGAGAATGGCAGGCCTAACAGATGTTAACATGAACAGAGAAGAGAAGAACTTTAGAATTAGTTAACTATACATACGACGATACGTGTATGGTGTCAGGATATATGTAATGTCTTGTTGATGTATGTGTGAGGTCGCTCCATGATGATTGATCTGTTGTTCTACACTACAGGTGCAGCTACCTGACAAGGTGGTGATTGATCTGTTGTTCTACACTACAGGTACAGCTACCTGACTAGGTGGTGATTGATCTGTTGTTCTACACTACAGGTACAGCTACCTGACAAGGTGGTGATTGATCTGTTGTTCTTCACTACAGGTAC